TTTTTTTTCCAGGTCGTTACATCTTGGAATGCCTATATATTCCATATTTATTCGGCTTCTTCTGGTGCCTTTTTTGATTAAATCCGATATCATTTTCGCCATTTTGCCTGTCATCTTCTGTAGTTTCAGGAAATCCTTCGATGTGAAAATCTGATTCAAATCATGCCTGAGTCTAGATTCAGTATATAAAAACGTAAATAATTTTACCCTCTCCCTATTATATGCCCCCTCTAATTTTTGCAAAGAAGCTTGATAAAATATAGAATTGACTTTATGAAAATGATAATTTCTCATCAAATTGCAAAGACTAGGATGGATGCCATAACGTTTACAACAGTTAAGAAAGGTCAAATGACAAAATTGACTTACGATTGTTTTCTCTGATCTGCTATAATCAGTACATTGACTTGCAATTTTACCACCGTAATTATATCGTAAATACGAAGTCCAAGATGGTGTGGCCTTCTGTTTGGTCGCAGTCTGCTTTAGCTTTATTGTGTTGTTTCGACCTTGTTTTCGCAACTTGTCGGAGCGTCAGCGAGACCTTGTGGAATGTACCTAGTCTCGTGTCCTCTGCCATAGTATTCTTGATTTCCAGCATTGGACTACTGACTGGGTACATTCCCAAGCGTTTCGTCGGCATCGCAGTCGACAAGGTCTTCTTGCCAATATGACCAAGTTGCGAACACAAAGTCAAACAACTCAGAAGAGAATTTCAAGATGCCATCGCTGCAACCATGATTGCTCATCCGGTACCTGGATCATTACTTCGCAATTTGGATTATATGAGACTTGCCACGCTTCCCTACCTTAATTTCCGTAAATTAGCGGTTTGGCGTACGTCTATTTATCCTTGTGTAACGTACCTAGTCCTGCGTCCTCTGTCATAGTATTCGTGATTTCCAGTTTCGGAACATTAATTTGATACATTCTCATACGTTTCGTCAGCATCGTCAGTAAGATGCGCTATTATTAGAATAGAGTTACAACTTATCAATGCAATATGCTTGATCGATTTTTTGTTCAGCCGTAGCAGCATCACTCCTCGCTCCTATTTTTTGACTCTTCTAGTGCGGCATCTCTTTCTCTCAACCTAACTTCATATGGCCCATTTATCTATTCACACAATTCTGTGCTCTCGTTTTCCCCAATGTCGCCTAAGTGTGTGTCGCTTCTAGTAGATATAGTACAACGTAATAATTTTCACTACCTATTCCAAGTGCCATTTGCAGAGCTTATGACCTTCATTCACCCCCTTCCTCTACCCCGCTTGTCAATTGGTCGCTGCTACACATCAAAATTATTGTGAACCTTCAATTTCCTTCCCCGTTTACGTCATATTTGAGGATTTAGAGCCGGTGATGCCCATGTCTAGACATATTCCTCTCCCTGGTCTCCCTAGTCTATTAAGCTAAAGGAGACTGCGACCAAGCAGAAGGCCACAACATCTTTGTCTTTATAACCTTGCATGCTATACTAACTTTACCTAGTCTTTTTGGCCTCTTATTCTTGCCATCATTCGCTCTAGCCTATTCGTTTCATGATGTTCATTTACATACCATTTTTCGTTTGAAGCCTTAGGAAGTAATATGCGAGGCTGAATGGATATACAACTCTTTTTTACTTTGACATCGTTTTCTTTTATTTCTTTGGTTGCCGTCTATTTACTGTTATCAGTCTATCTTATTGAATGCATTTTACTATTTTGCCTCAATTTATTTATTTATCTGTCGGTCCCAGAGTCCAATCAAATAGTTTTAGTCGGTGGTGCCCATTTAAATATACTGAATAAAAGCTGGTTTGATACAATTCCGTCCTGCGATGCCTATGATTCGCCTAGAGCTTTACTTTTCCTATTGAATCTTCCGACTGGGCCTAATCCTTAATCATACGAACGTAACGATCAGATGAAGTGTATGCCTTAAGTCACATTTTGTCGTGAATGGTGCTTGGACTTTTTGGTTCCCTACATCCTTTATTTGGCTTCCTCGGTCCCTAGTATAATTTTAAGAAATAAGTATGCTAAGGGGTCTTGATTACATTCATATGAATTTAACTCAGCAAACCCAGACATCAAAATTAATTGAAAATCTTTATTAAACATCAAATATCCTGAAAATTTGTTCAGCCTTTCCTGTTGCAATTTTTATCATATATATTAATATACATACTTGTTGATTATTAATTATCTCTTCAGTTCTTAATTTCCATATCCCTATCTCTACGCTTCTTGCGTGTTTTCCTCTTACTCTACCCTTCTCTCTTCTATCTTCTCTCAGGAGGAGGCACAGAAAAGGGCTTTTCAACAATTGCAAGCGGCTAAGGATTTCCGCACTCAGCATGTATCGCGCAATATCATTCTGGTCCAAGCGGAACTGGCTCGGCTTACTGCCATCGAGCTGGACAATCGACAGCGACGCACTGACGAGCGATCTGAGGCGGCTGGAAATGCTCTTCTGGCGGCAAGGACGCGTTTGCTTGACTTGCTGACTCAATTATTCGAGGAGCGCAGCAAGCGCGAGGTGGAGCTTAAAAAGCGTTTGGTGAGTTTTCTTATATGTATATTCATATTTTGAAAGCTTGTGCAAGAAAATTTAATTCACTTTGATCCAAAAATTGATTTCGTTATTAGCAGTCTATCCATTTTTACATTAGTGATATCTTTTGTCTTGCTATGACTACTATGACTACTTCTCTTAATCAATTTATGCGTCTAATGTTTTTAGGCTTATCATTCCAAATTCATAACTTGATACATGGGTTAATTGAGCACTAAACCGGATCTATTGCCTCAGACAAGGAATTACAGAAGGTTATGAATCGATACATTCTTTTCGCATTATGTTATATTTTTAAGAATAGAGTTGTTTAACTCTAATGCTATTGGATAACGAAGTCAAGTTCAGATTCAGTCCCCTTTATTTACATCAAATAAGGTTAACTTTCCATTTTATCTAAGAGACTTTATCTAGTATGCCATTTTGGCTTTTTACCGTTGCTTCCCAAAATGTGCTGCTTCGAATTTTTCTTCCTATAATCTCTCTTCCCACGCTTGAATCATCTTTCACTTGATCATATAATATTATAAGGGAACTTCACTGAGAAAATTTGCAGTGTCTTCTAGTGTCTGGGACATACCCGTTTTACGCCATCCTTTTTTGGCCACTAAGCTCATCCCTTCAGTTGTACTGAACTCATTCATTACCTATCTTCTTTCATTCGTTATAAGATTTCTGACTCTGTAACCCCTTTATAGTAATACTAACTACTTATCTCGGACTAGCTTATTCAATCAGCAGTTCAACCTTGTATTATGCATTTCTTACTTACATACTTATGTCTTCTATAGTTCTAATTGAGCCTTCGATCTTACCTCTTGTTTTTGCTTGTAATAATGTGCTTTTCTAGCCTTTTGATCCTTTACTCTCTTTCCCACATTGCATGCCCTTTTATTACCTTTGTGAAGCCAATCGTTTGCTAATGATTTACACAGGTATATTTATTCACAAAATGGCAAATATATTGCTTCTTTTAAAA